GTAATTACTCCGCGGAAGCCCGTACCTTTGAGTAGGAGTAGGATGTCTCCCTGATCACCTCCCTGCCGTCGTCTGCCTCTCGCGTGTGCTCCTCCTCCACCCACTGGTACATCTCCACCGTCCTCTTCAGCTTGACTGCCGACAGCTCCACGTTGTAGGCGGGGTCGCTAAGCCACACCTGTCGTCATAGAGTAAGGTAGATCGCTGAAGATGCTGTACTCACTCACTCGTGGTGGTCTGTAGTGACAGTTGGTGATCATGATATACACAGTAACACTTACTGAAGCCACAGTAGCATGTGATGGATTGTTTTGTAAGCTCAGTGACGCTGACAGGGTCTATGTCCCCCAGGGTACTATCGGAGGGTACCCTGGGTACGGTTCGATATATCAGAACGTACCCTGGTACTATCTAATATGCCGGACCGTACCTCACCTACTCCACTAACGAGTCTAGGAAGTCGCCTACCCTAACCCTAACCCTAACCATATCAGACCAACCCAGACATAGGGGACATAGACCCTATAAGCCTCAGTGACGCTATGACAGCATGTGCGGTGGTGACAGATGGTGATATACACTTACTGAAACCATGGCGGCATCTGTACAGTGACAGGCGAGAGAGATAGAGCTGTCGCGAAAAGTGGATGGCGGAAGCTATAGTAGCATGTGCGGTGTGACAGATGGTGATATACACTCACTGAAACCATAGTAGGAAGTACAGTGACAGAAGCCACAGTGGCATGTACGGTGATAGGTGGCTTTGTAAGCGCAGTGACGCCGTGACAGCATGTATGGTGACAGGGGATGCTATACACTTACTGAAGGCATAGCAGCATGTATGGTGAAATGATACTATACACTCACTGAAGCTATAGCAGCATATATGGTGATAGGTGGCTTTGTAAGCTTACTGAAGCTGTAACAGCATGTACAGTGACAAGGGATGCTATACACTTACTGAAGGCATAGTAGCATGTACGGTGATACTGATAGTGATACTGATAGGTAGGTGGCTTTGTAAGCTTACGGAAGCTGTAACAGTATGTATGGTGATAGATGGTGTTTACACTTACTGAAGCTATAGTAGGATGTACAGTGACAGATAGTGCTATGCACTCACTGAAGCCATGGTGGCCTGTGTGGTGATGCTATTGCAGCATGTGTGGTGGCAGAAGGTGATATGCACTCACTGAAGCCATACCAGCATATACAGCATGTACTATGACAGGTGGCTCTGTGAGCTCACTAAAGCCACAATAGCATGTATGGTCACAGCTGGTGCTATACACTTACTGAAACCACGGTGGCTTGTTCGGTGACAAGTGGATTTGTAAGCTCAATGAAGCTAAAGTAGCATGTATGATGAAAGATGGTGTTATACATCCACTGAAGCCACTGTAGCATGTACAGTGAGATAGTGGCTCTGTAAGTTTACTGAAGCCATGGTAGGATACTACGATGTACAGTGACAGATTGCTTTGGCAGCATTTACGGGGACAGGTGGCTCTGTGAGCTCAATTAAGCTATAGGAGCATGTACAATGAAAGATGGTGTGTGCTATACACCCACTGAAGCCACAGCGGCATGTACAGTGACAGTTCGCTCCCCGAGCTTGGCAGCCGAGCAGTTACACGAGTTTTCTGATGCGGTAGAAGCTTGTACAGAGAGAGAGAGAGAGAGACAGACTACCCGATTACACACGGCCTATAATTATCCCCCGCTGTGCAGAGGATAGAGAGTGATACACTCCATCTGCCATCGCCACCCGCTGCTATGTCGACAACCATTTCTTTGACTTATATCTTGTGCATCTTATTTACTTTTTCCGTGGCGGTGTTCGGCGTGATTCTACCACTGTCCGGACGAATTTTATCGACCGTGCATCGGTGCGGTTGATACAGTTATTGTACCATGGTAAACAGATTTTTTAATGTCCCTTCGGTACACGTTTATTTCACGTTTATGTCAAAGTGAGGCGAGCGTTTCCATCCAAACTTACCAATGCACGTATACGACATATATAACTTACACGAGTTCTTCACATTGTATTCAACGTTCATACACGTCACACACGTGTATACAACATTCACACGTTTCTTCACGTTGTATGTACACAAGATGATTGTAGTGTCTCTCTGAGCATATAAACGTTTGAGCTCAATCACTTTTTAAATGGACGCATATTAGGAATTTTGCATCTTTCACAGCCACCATTTTCAGCATATTCTGACCGAACGAAGGGGAAAGTTTCCTATCAGAGATAACTGCAAATAATTATATCAGGAGTAAATAGTAGGGTAAACTAATAATCACTATTATTTACTCCATACATTCTCTAATGGTGTCCTAACGGGCATTAGTTGTTCAGTGAATTTCTGTCGCTCATGACGGATTAACTTTCTATTTTTTCATGAAATTTTAAGAATGCTGCAGCTGTTTTACCCCCATACTTCGTTTGGCTATAAAGGCCAAGGTTGATTTCGTAAACATTACATCACTCCAGCAATATAAAACCACTTTACTTTCTACAGAAGAGTGCAGCAAAGATAAGTGCATGTTTGATACACAGGCTCAGTTAAATCGGCTTTAACTTGTGCCACTTGTAAAATTTCGTGGTTCAATATTTACTGGAATTTTTTCTGTGTTTATAAAACAGCCGAAGATTATTTGCTAACATCGTCAGTAGCACCGCTATACGTGCTGCTTCTTATATATTCAGGGTGTTCTATATATAAGCCTCACTCGGTCACCCCACACACACGTAACGCTGTAGTAACGCTCGTCTATTTAAGTCTCGTTAGTAAGTCAGAGACGAATACGTACACGTGTTACGGTGTATACAAATCCTTCGCATCTCCGTTACTGAATGTGTGTGTTTCAACCATTAGCTGTTAACTGCATGTTCATAGTACAATACGATACCTATACAATAAGTTATTCTATCCTATGTTGGGAGCCCAGTACATAAATAATCATCTTCATCATCATCATCATCATCATCATCATCATCATCATCATCATCATCATCATCATCATCACTCTAAACCCTAACCCTGCCCATTCACCGTAATACTATCCCTAACCTTAACCTCGTCTCTTAACCCTAACCCTAACTCTGCCCATTAATTCTAATACTATCCCTAGCTTTAACCGCATCTCTCAATCCTGACCATAAAACTTTACTCTAATCCTAACCTGATCCCAAGCCCATCGTTAAAAATTCTTTGTGGTCCCAAAGCACGGCTAAACTGGCTTCAACACACACACACCACGTCCTCCCCCCGACCCCCTCAGCCATTGTCTGCGCCCACCGCCGGCGAATCCGACGTGTGCGCGACCCCTCTGACCTTGCCCCGACCCCCACGACCTCCTCGCCCCGACCCCGCGACTGACCTTCGTGCGCAGTGGCGCCACCAGGTGGATGAGCTTGCCGTCGTACTCCTCGACCGCGACCTCGTGGCTTCGCAGCGGCCGCACGAGCGAGAGCGCCTCCTCCAGCGAGCGCGCCGTCCCCACCGCGCGGCCCTCGTTCCAGAAGAGGAGGCCGACGCCGATGGCGATGAGGAGGAGGCCGAGAGGCACGGCGGCGACGCTGCGGCGAACGCGCGCGAAGAAGTCGTCCTCGTCGTCATCCTCCTCCGTCGTCACGGTCGTCTTCTCCGGGGCGAAGTGGTCCGTCATCTTAGGTGTGATCTAGGGAAGATCTCAAAAAGATCTTGGGAAGATCTCAGGGTGATCCTAGGAAGATCTCGGGACGATCTTGGGAAGATCTCGGGGCGATCTTAGGAAGATCTCGGGGCGATCTTAGGAAGATCTCGGTGCGATCTAGGGAAGATCTCAAGTCAATCTCAAGGCGATCTCAAGACGATCTCAAGGTGATGTCACGGCTTGGAGGGCGTGCGGGGATTCATCGACGCCGCGTCGTCGTCTTCGTTGTCGGGGTTAGCGTCGGCTTGCGTGGCGGCGGTGTGTGCTGGACCGACGGCAGGGAGCGTGCGCGCATGGTTGCTGCGCTGCGTGGTCTGCCGCCGATGCTGCTATTTCCGTGCGAGCTGCTGCACCGAAGGGGGGGGGAGAAAAAACGAGAGCGTGTGGTAGGGGGTGAAGCGAGAGAGCTTCACGAGCGAAAGACGAGGATGCTGCTCGCCGCGGAGCTGGGAAGCTGCCGTCGCGTCGCCGTGGCAACGGCGTCTAATTGCGACGGCGAGAAAAACTCGCGCTTTCCCGTCCGTCTGGATGCTGTAAGCGAGCAGGGGTTGGATGCTGCGAGCAAGGGTGGTGGGGGTAGCAGGTTTTTAAATAGGGGGATGCTATGATGAGCAGGGGTGATGAGGGGGTAGCGGGTATTTAAACAGGGGGATGCTATGAGCAGGGATGGTGGGGGTAGCAGGTTTTTATATACGGTGATGCTGTAGCGGGTAATGCGGTTGTAATGTCGTTAGCAGCGCAGGCATCCAGTAGCAGAAATGAAAACCAGACGTGCTCTGCGCGCAGCAACAGTGTCAGGAGTACATAATAGGGTATAGTACATATACATAAAATATACATATAATATATATTAGTACATATACATATAATAGGGTACATATAGTACATAATCCCTATTATGTACTCCTGAACAGTGTGCATGTTAAGGTTTACGCTATCAACTTTCTATGGACGAGTTGATCAACTTTTCAACTAATCGTCCGAAAATCGGCAGTGTAAACGTGAAAACAATTAGGGAGACAGGTAGGAAACATGCCTGCGCTAAAACTCTATTTCAGCCCGGCTACGTTTATATTTAGATCTTACAAACTGCTGCGTATTTTGCCTCGCTGTTTGTCTCGGTCTGTTAATGAACCCTAGAAGAATTAATTAAGTCAACTTCTCAAATTAGCAATGCAAAGCAAACCATGCAGCGGTTGCAATGGTAGACAGGGGTAAACGTACCACCCTGCGGCGGAACGGAGGGCTATAGTACTAGAGCTAGGGTAAACGTAGCCGAGGTGGTGGTAAGTTTTAGTGCCGTCAAGTGACCTGTCTCTTTAACGAACATGGCCACGTACACATAGTGTCTGCAGCACGCGTAAATAGTTCACGTGTTGATGATGGTGGTAATACTTAATAAATCAATCAATCAATCAATCAATTAATGTATTGCTGCGTACACATAGTGTTAGCAGCAGCACACGTAAATAGTTCACGTGCTCTTGATGGTGGTAATAACCAATCAATCAGTGTCTTGGACCGCATTTAGCCCTGAGTTGAGTGGAGGCTTGCCCTGTGGTCACTGACTGTACGCGGCCAGCATCTGGTTTTCATTATTTATAATAAGAATGCTTACTTGCTCAGCTTCTGTGCCCCCATGCTGGTTGGTTGCTAATTAAGCCAACACGCCTAGACAACACAACAAGACTCTCTAACATCTATAACATTATAACAGGAGTGTATTATATATATATA